CAGCAGGCATGCTTAATAATTGCGGTATGAAATCTTTAAGTGGGCGTCCTAGCTCTTCCTGGCCAACCAAGTCGAAACCAGCAATGAAATCGGGGTATTTAACCTGAAAGTGTATGGAAAGGTTAACTCGTTGCGTAGTAAAAGTAATGTTAACTGCATTGATATTAATTCGAACCTTTATTTCAATGCAGATACGTATATACTCCTCAACTTGTGTTGGGCTTGTATTACGTATCGGCGCATAGATCAGTTTCGATCCGATGAAGTCTGGGTAATCTTGCATGAATTTTTCCAAGGTTTCCTTATAAATGCGCACAGTGTCCAGCTCGGTGTACTCGTTATCTTCCAAGTCATAGAGCTGGAATGAAAAGAGTGGAAAGTTTTTAATATCTGTACATAAAACGCGCAATGTTAAGGCACCTCGGAATGTTTGCTATTGACAAGAAAATTCTAATGGCTTTGCTGGGTATGAAGCCACTATAAGATTTCAGTAAAGAGGGTCGTTGGCCAGTTTATAGCACAAAGTGCATATGCTCTTCCTTCTGCGCCAGACCTGCCATGGTTCCAATTGTTGCTACTCAAAATAAATGTTCTTCAAAAAGAGATTACAGACCTCTGTATCTTAAGTTACTAAGAGAAAAGTAAAACAAAATTCCATATATTGAGATTGCCGGGGCCATCAATCCTTGTGCATTAATAGGCAGCCCCTTTCAGTGCTTTGAGGTTGCATAAATGACTTTGAAGAAAAACATCTGTGTCCTTCTGATTTTAAGAAAATCGCACTTGGACAAAAAGTTTCCTTGAAGGAAGGATTGGAAAGAGGTTATTTTTGCTGAATGCTTCGCAATTTCTAATTTTATAAACTTGTCTAAATAGAAATGACTATGCGAGTTCCAGTTTCAGAAATTGTTCTCCAGGCTTTTATCTGGAATATCGGTAAGTAACTAGTCTTGATCACATATCGCACGGGGGCGTCGATTTTTAGAACAGCCAGGCAGCGGTAAGAGTCCTTGGCTGCATATCTCTTTATGATATATGCTTAGCACTGGTTAAAAAAAAAAGATTAAACGACTGCAGAGTCCGCAGAAGTGTTTGGCCTTCTGTTCTGCTGACAATGAAAACCATTGGAACTGTATTTAATTACCTAGGTTTGTTCCCTTTTCAGGTTAAATTGCAAGCTGTGATTTCAAAACAACACCCACTTCCAGCTCAAGGGAACTGGGTTGTTAAGTGGCTCGAAAACAGGACACTGTTGTCCTGGAGTTCTAAGTAGCTCCTCTCTACCTATTTAGATTCCCACAAAAGAGGACTGGGGGGACGGGTTTATTCAGATCAGATATTGACAGATCAAAACGTAGTGGCAGAGTTGGTGGAGATGTGTTTTACTGGGAGCTCTCCAACAAAACTGTCCTCAGGCTTCCAGATTTCTGTTGTGTCCTTCAGGAGGAAATAGCCGCCATCATGGAGGTGGTAGACTCACTGCTAAAAGGCGTGACGTCAGTTAGGGAAATTAGCAAAGGAGGTTATATAGCCCTGAACGCTATAGTGGTATGCTGCAAAATCGGTAAGAAGGTTTATACATACCAAACGCACTGGAATACTTCCTAATTAGGCTCGTTTGGGTTCCGGTCCACAGTGACATTGCGGGACTTTGCAACGAAAAGCACCACTGAAGCGTTTACACCAGGTATAGAGCAGCTGAACTCGCCTTCCACCTTGTGCGGTTCACACTTGGACAGTTGGGCCTCATGACAACTCAACGAGCGCTGGGCTAAATCTAGGGCTTGCGCAATTGTACTGGGGTGGACCGGAGCGGTCAAAGGAGTTGTTTATGCTTGCAAAGCGTTAGTTTTCGCTAACGGCGGGAGTTCCGAAGGCCATTGTGCCATTGAAATTTACACTGTAAGGTGGGGAATCTCAACTGATCCCTTTTGTATCAGCTGTCAAGGGAATTATGAGATGGAAACGAGTCTCAGCTCTTTTTCTCTTGGCCTGCTCAGCCTTCGCGAGGCTAAGAGCGAAGAATTTCAGCGCGCGCTTCTTGACTAACCCTAACGGGCTCTCAGGCATTGAAATTTGGTGTAGTCGTAATTACGTATGCCGATTACATAGGTTAATGGTCAAAGTTTCAATTGCAAAGTCAAATTGCTTGCTGCATAACGGGGTACTGAGTACTTCCACAATTTCTGATTTTCTTAGTTCCCGGGTTGGCTTTAGTAAGCGAAAGTTAGCTGTAATGTAATGTAATGTAGAAGAAGAAAAATCAGCTCGACTAATTGATATATAAATAGTATCTCAAGAGTGGGAGCACAAAATTTCCTCATACTCCCTAAAGGCGATAATACCCTAAACATTGTCAACTAAAAGTCTACTTAAAGTGCGATCTACATCAGGTGCCTAGTGATAAAATGGTAACAGCTAATTAACCTAACCTTACGTCACACCAAAAATTCGTATACAACAATATCGCTCAACTTACCCTTGGCAATGTGCTACGGAACTCCAAATA